GTCCAAAGGATTTATGTACAAACACAATTCGGAAGTTGAGTGCAACAACTTACTGATTTAACCCGTACGTCTCCCCTCGCTAAGGACACTTTCAAGAGTACTTCGGTTCACCTTCTTTAGCATTATTTGATTTAAAAGCCGCAACCTTCGAGAATGATCACCAATCAATATCGGAAATATGTAAAAGCAATAACATCTTACCCTGACGTTATTTTCACACTGCCAGTTAAAGGATCGGGTAGGGTACCGACGAACAAATCAGAATACACGCTAAAGATGCAGGCTATTCTTCAGCACACGACCAAGTGCATGCTTGATCCAGCACAGAAGGATAGCAGCGCGAAGGATGTAATTAAACTCACTGAATTACTGAAGGAATTGCAGCGCCAAAACTCGATTGATGACCGTTTACTCGAACATCTAATTCCGTTTGGCTCGCATCAACCTCGCCTCCACGGACTACCAAAAGTGCCTAAACCCAAGGTACCAATGCGCCTGATCATCGACGTGTCTGGCACAGCCGTGCACCCAGTTGCCAGGGGGCTATTTAAATTACTCGAACCACTCATCATCATCATCATCATACACGTTAGCCAGAGGTGGGGAACACCTCAGCTACAGTGCCGCAATACATAGAAAAAAGGAGAAAAAAAGCAACTGGTGCAAGCCGGTTGAGCTACCGGTAACGGATGGGCATCGTTCCGGTAAGTTACCAGCCGGCTACTGTGCACCAAAAAAATTACTATGCAAAATTATATAAGGCTAATAATGGGATCGTGGTTGGAGGGTGAGGCTAAGAGGGATGCGATGGGACAAAGAAACTCACGGCACGAACGCCACTGAGGTCGGCTCCTTGCCATATCAACGTGTTCATCGTCTTTCGGACCCCAACCAGGGAGCTGAGACGCTCCAACCAAGGCCAGCTCAGAAGTGAGGGCCTTCATTCCTCTCGACCAAGTCATCGCTTGGCCACCCTTCCTCTTCTTCCATCCACATCTCCGGCGCGCAAACAACGCAGGCCGTGGGAGTCGGTGGGCTGGCATGCGTAACATGTGGCCAAGCCATCGGAGCCTGGTGCGTGAAATGACGGTGCTGAGCGGTTCAGTTCCTTTTCCTGTTCCGTAAACAAGGCATCGAACACGCTCGTTACTCACGTGGTGTTCCCACCAGATGTGGGCTAAATTGCAAAGGCACCGGTGGTCGAACGTAACTAGCCTCTTCAAGTCCGTTGCTTTAAGGGGCCAGGTTTCACAACCGTACGGTAGGGACTCGAACCACTACGCAAAGAGATATCGGTTCATACTGTTGTGATACGTTTAATTTTGTAAAAAAAGAATACTTGAATGTGAAGAATAAAGTGATGCTTTCACTTGAGGTCGAGGCACTTTTAACAAACGTTACTTTGCTAGAGACTGTCAACTTCATTTGCGAGTGCCTAGCCGCTCACAGCACCGCTATTAGTATTCCAATAAAATGGGTGAAAGAACTACTCCTGCGTTGCACATTCAACAAACAATGCATGTTCGATGGAAGGTATTACCGACAAATAGCTGGAGTTGCAATGGGGTCCTCTTTAGGACCAATTCTTGCCGATTTCTTTCTTGCGAAAATTGAGCGCGGCACATTCCGGAGCGTTGTCGCGTCTCTACATTCCTGTTGGAGATAAATGGACGATTCATTCCTCATATGCGACTCCTAAAATGACCACCTGCAGATACTTGACCAGTTTAACAGTGTGCATTCACCGTTAAAATTCACTTGTGAGGCAAAAAATATGGGAAAATCCCGTTTTTGGATGTGTCATTATGGCGGCGAGCTAATGGGTCGCTCGAGAGAAGGGTCCTTTAGACAACTACATGGGTTGGCCAGTATACGCACTTCCTTAGTGATGTGCCAATGAAGTACAAACGAAATCTCGTACGCTGTTTGTACTATCGCGCCGCAATTATCTGCAGCCCAGAAGTTAGACGCTGAGAAGGGTTTCATTCACGCGACACTACAAGCCAATGGGTATCTCGCTTCATTTAGCAAAAGACATTCTACCATTTGTGATCACCCTAAAACGATACCAACTGTAAAGAAAAAGGACATTTTCCTATCGGTTTCTTGCGAAGGGGAGATCCTCTAGGAGTTACTGAACAGAAGACTGTCGACCGCAATTAACCAAACATCCGGCTGCTAGAGTACACATCCTTACCAAGACAGTTCCGCTCATCACCAAAATACTCAACGACAGAATTCCGGCTCGTTCCGAAGCATTTGTACTACATGAATTCACCTGCAACTGTGGTGCAAAGTACCATGGGCACACGACCAGACGTCTGTCTAAGAGGACAGCGGAACACATTCCTGCCTCTCTACAACCTGGCACGGTTAAAAATGTCCACGGCGCTATCCACGAGCATCTGATTACTACTAGGCATCAGATTCGGACAGAAGAGGGATTCAAGATTGTCTACATTGTGTCGAGAAGCGTTCTCAAAAGACTCAGGAAATGTCTGCTGGCCACCACCGAGGCAATGGTGATTAGGCTATTACAATCTGAGTTATGCAAGCAAAGTAGGCTAATACAAGTTTTCAGTTTACCTTGGCCACGACAAAGATTCTGTCCGTATCTGACAGAACCCCCGGCCCAACTGTGAGTTTTGTTCCTCATCAACCACTGCGTTCTTGCTTACGCTGTTCGACTAGTTGCTTGCGCGAGACACGGTGTCTTAATCTCTACCACCTGACTTTATTGACATAACTATAGATTGGCTCCACTGACACTATTTAAATTGCCATCCACCCACTATCACTGGAGCTCTAGTTAGCTTCCCCGTTTGCGTAATATTCTACATAAATTTGAATGCCTGACGAGAATTATCGCAAAGCAAGCCTCCTTCTTAAACCTAAGGGAGCCGCGGAAGACAAGGTAGTACAGAACGAGAGAAATACTGCTGAAAACGGACAAAAAGCTATTATTGGCTAATTCAGGATCACAAAAGATGCTGAACTACACAATTGAAGACAAAAATTACAATATTTGTCGCAGAAAAACGGAATAAACTGGGAACGGAGTGATTTATTTCGAACCGACCGCCTTGTGCATACCAGGTTGGATTGCGACTGATGTATTATCATTTCCAAATGCATACAACCGCAAATGAGAGAACAGGCTAGGTGCAGTCAGATTGCACAAGGCATGGTAGTCGCGGATCCTGGGTTCAGGCGGTTCGGCTCCAAAAGCATCTAGTTTGAGTACAAGGGCAAGGTGTTGACTTATCTGCTGTCGAGCATGAACCCTGAGTACAACCAAGCAAATGGAGTAGAGCTGTCTGGTGAAAAGTCTTATCGCATGAGACAACTGGAGATAAAAATGTTAGGGGAGTAGTTGGTAAAACCCCAGTATAATTACAATTGCATTAACTTACCTAGCGGAATATTGGTAGGTCCTTCATGGTGATGACGAAGGGGATGTAAAGTGAGCGTATGTAGAATAAACAAGGGAGGAGTCACCAATTGTCTGCATCCTTTTATCGGTGCTGCCGTGTCGAGTATCTAGGATAACAACTTTGCAGCTGGAGGACGGTAACGACATGTTGATGACGAGTTTTAAAGAAATCGCCACGGTTGATTCCGAGTTGGGACAGTTCCGACATTCTTATCCACATTTTTGGGTCAAAATATTTATCGTAAGGCAGCAAGAATCTTGCAGATGTCTAGGAGATGGGCCACTTGTAATGCAGTTGATACCATACCAATTCTAACTTCCAATCTATGCAAAAGTGCTATCATGTCTGACATCTGCATTTTGGTCACTGTGTAGCAAGTAGTTTTCAAAACACCCGAGAGCGACAGTCAGTACGGCTCAGCTTATTGGAAGTACAGAAATTGCCACACAATGTTATGGTAACGCCCGGTTGAGGTGGCTCAGATAACCGCCCTAGAATAGCAATATGGTCGCAGCATTTGCACAAAAGCCGAGTCTTCCGTCTCGTGCCCAGCTCTCAGACCTCACCCACGTAGAGTGAGTTATAAGTACGTGCAGTGCAGCCTTTTACTCGATTACCTTCGCTTCTGTAAACTCGTGTCGCATAACGGAGAGGATAATAACCAAAAAATTGATTGCCTGTGTTGCACTGCAATCAGCACCAGCCCACTACACTGAAGAAAGTAACCGGCAAGCGTGATGACAAGCGGTTAATTGCTGTGGCTACTGGACAACGAGTCACGGTAAAGTGGCACCGAAAACAGTCGCCTTACTACTATTGAGTAGGTTGCTTATGACCGGCGTCTTCCCGCTAATGCTCAGTCTAGCCAATCATGTCTCATTGCCGAATTGCTCAGCTAGCGATAAGTGGTCGTTGCCGGTATAGTCTACATCCTGCTGTGTCCAGTGTGAGGGCCACATCTACCAACAGCCGTGTGTGTGTGAAGTACAGACGAAGCGTTCGGTGTGTTTCGCTGTGTCGCTGAATAGACGCATTACCACGAATATGTGGTAGAAATGCAAGCTGTGCCAAGACACACTTGCCAACAGGTTGGCACTCCAGCGCTGCGGGTCAGATATACTACAGTTTGAGTTGAGCTCATGCCCAACGTGTCTCAGTGCACCAATGGAATATTAATTCTGTCTCAACTTGTGCGATACATCAAGTTCCGTGCCTCCACAATATAGTCTAGATTAACATTCGTGCTTGTATCAATGGTCCCCACTGTACGTGTGTGTGAACGCAATCTTCAAGTAGAAAAAAGATAAATGAGTTGCCTCGTGATGATTTTCTTTGCGCTTCTGGATTATTAATTGCCTGCAAGATCCACAACCTATCAATGGCAGGCCTTGTATAATCCTTTTCCATTTGGAGTTCAAGGAATGATTCAAGATGCTAGGAGTTTGTAAGACAATCTAATACATTGTAAACTTTACGGCAGTAAACAGAAAAGCAACTTTATGGCGCGCTAGACATTCCCTATTCTCTGTGGATCACCTTATAACTACTTTCACTGCACTTGTACAGGCAGCTGCGCACTATCTGCGCCATGGGCATAATTCCTCATGGCATCGGACGCCCTCGTTGCTCAGTCTATACGATGATATTGTGAGTTCGCGGATGCAGGATTGCAGAATGGGCTTTTTAGTTTGTGTTCTGTTCCGTATACTCATCCTTCGGGTTCATTGGCTGCACGGCTTCTCCATTATTTTCACACGATCCACACACTGTATTCTGTTATCTGGTCTGAGTTCCGAGACCTCATCCATCGTGGGTGCATGTGGACTGTCCTTGTGTGCCCGCACCATTTTTGAACCAGATGGCCGAACGGTTTCCCTCAACTAACCATTAGCATGTTACATCTGTGCATAGGTCCAACAAATCATCTGCATAAAGTTCCCTCTTATGCTTTGGAATGCAATAAGTGCTTGAAGGAGGTGGGCTTCTGACGGGGATCAATGCCATGCATAGTGGACTGTTTTTAGGAACAATTGCTAACCTGTTTTGCGCAGTCCATACTGAGTGTGACTCGTTTTCAAGTTTCCCTAGGCAAGGTCAGTAGGTCAAGCCACTATAGAACATTAACTCTTGCGGGCATATTCAGCCCAGTTTATCCCACAGATTAAAGTCAACAAAGCGTTTATTTGCGAACGCATCAGCGCAACCACTAAGCATTCAACTAATCTTTACAACTACTTGGAATTCGTTTACACCCAGAGGTCTGAACTGGAAACCCAGCTGACTCTATTTTGGCCAGTAGCTTGGAGATTGGCTAATCGATTGGCTCAAATAATCAATTCAATTTATTAAATCCTATTCTTATTGTTGTCTTTTGCAATTAGCAATATCCTACCAAACTTAAAACACTTTGCTAGAATACTAGGAAACTAATTCCGAAGCTGTCCCCCGTGACTCAGTGGCATAAGCTGCTGACTAGCGGTGCAAACCGCCTTTGGTCATGGGTTCGAATCCTGATGGCTCCGATGGATACGCACTACTGATGATGCTCAACAGGCTGAAACTGCAATCTAGCGCTTTTTCAGGCATGTGGACGATTGTCTGATTTGGAACCGGCTGCGAAAAACCCTCAGTTATTTATATCAAAATTCCCCACTCATAAGTACATCAAAATGTATCCGCCCTGACAGTTTCTAAATGCCATGTCGCACCTCGCTGCTGTCAGTGGGCGTCGTGTCTTTCGGGGGCACCCCTGTCCTCTGCAATATTTCTTAACTTGCATGACAATGGAGGATAAGACGCGCTATATCGCAGTTAGCTTACAAATCATGACGATCTGAAGCTGTCCCCCGTGACTCATTGGCTTAAGCTGCTGACTAGCGGTGCAAACCGCCTTTGGTCATGGGTTCGAATCCTGATGGACCCAATGGATGCGCACTGCTGATGATGCGCAACGGGCTGAAACGGCAGTCTAGTGCTTTTCCGGGCATGTGGACGACTAGCTGATTTGGAACGAGCTGCGACGAACCCTCAATTAATTCCCTAATAGTTTTTAGAAAATCGCTTGCCCGATAGCTAAATTCCTTTTTAAGGTTTTAGGTTGTGATTAACACATTAATACAAGTCCCTTATTGATTGGTCAGCTGCTCACTGCTGTGGCGGAGTTCCACACCACTTGCTAAAAAACAAGCATGTTAAAATATGTGTGCTTTACAAGTCCAGAATCTCCAAGCGAAGCGAGCCACTGCACAACAATCACACGGTTTGAAAAGAACAAAATGCCACTGTCGTGTAGCGAAATGCTCTACGGCATGATCAACAAGATTAAACGGAACAAACCACTAAATTTAAATTTAAAATTTAAATTTAATATCTCCGATAGACGTCATAGCTGATACTCTATTGTTAGGTACTTCTTCACGTGACATGACGTGCTAGTTTGAAAATTCTAGCGTTCTTGTATTATCTGCTACCGTGCCTCCAATTTCTCTCTTAATCCAGCCTGCATTCGCTCATTTGAGCAGACTCAATGTGCTGTTTCCAACGCGTAGCGCATATCGAATCCACGCATTACAGCCTACTTCTCACAGCGATTTGTACACTTCCGTTCTTTTTTGCGGAGGTATACCCGAGGAATTTCTTTCGGTTTGCATGCTACAACACAAATTGTGACCTTCTTTGGAAGCCCAAAATAACAGCTCTCTAACAACCATACGACTGCTTTTATCGGTAGCTGCGTACGGCAGATACAGGCAGCATTATAAGGAATCCACCGCTAATCTTTCGATTGTGTCGCAGTCACTGAGGCTGCCACCTAAAGTCAACCCACCGGCCACACCACCAGCGCCACACCAAGAAGCGCTCTGACCAGATCGATAGCCTGTGCTTCGTTCCGAGGCCTGTCTGGATTCACCTGCAACCGCTTGTGACCTGTCACGAGGAAAATCAGGAACGGCTGTGCTGACCCGACCGCTGACCGGTGTGTCATTGGAACGGTGAGACAACGACACGTTTGGAATTGGTGGCGAGCTCGCGTTTCCAAAGTAACGGCGTGTGCAACTCGGAGGCGAAGATTCAACTAGTTCACTACGGTGCGTTCTTTTTGTTCCTAAATAAATCGCCCAGTTTCCGGGAGTTATCATTTTTACCAGTATTATATTAGACGTGGATTTTCACTTAAGTCAGAAGCTAGCACCCATTGTCTTAGCTCCTCTGATTTTGATTCAGTATATCTTACTTCGGTTTCATTACCATAGCTACAGTAAGGACACGCTCGATAAGGAAAATAACTATTATAGACCAGGATGCTTCCGTTTTAGTTCAAAAGCTGCGACAAAGAAACTAAGGTACTCCGCACAAAGGCTGGAAGCAGTAGTAAAGAGAATACCCAAAGCAATGTTGGCGCTGTGGGAAATTCCTTTGTACTACAGGCTGACCTGAGAAAGACACCTGAAAATGTCCATCCGTAACTGAAACTGCATGCGCTGAACTTGCATTAAAGTCGACATCCTCACATCGATTTTGCAACCTTTGCAGAGTCTAGCTGCGTTATTTGAATCTCCCTCAAATATTGATAAAATGAGCCTCACGAAGTGCAGTGTACTGTTAGTCCCAATTTCGACCGAAGTATACTCTCGAGTACGCTATTCACGCAATGCGGTGGTTTTTAATGTGACAAACAATTTACCATTAAAAACTGTTCAGAAAGTGCTTCTCACTGCATGCGGTATGCAAGCTTATTGGTCCAGCTGCATCAGACTACGCAAAAAGGTAATGCGTTACGCTGTCTCATACTTTTCCAGTTTCAACGTGAAGTAATTGCTACACAATTCATTCAAAAGTGCAATCTCATTATGCTTAATACGACTTTCAAACGTGTGAAGGTTATACAGGACATAACCCGCTACAACGAGAGATATAGAGGCATAAGTCTGAGGTAAACCAGAATACCAAACAATCATCTGGCGCCCCGTTTCCGGTTGATATTGGTCCATTTAGTGGCCACCACAAATGTGAGAACAATACTCCGCCTGCTGCATATAGGGACGAAGCGATGAATAATAAATTACTTTTTTAAATTAACAAGGAATCACATGAATATGCTGTCCGCTATATTACATGAGATGCTGTGTCCGGTAGAACACCTAATTCTCGCACTTCGGAGTTGAGATCAACGTCAGATGCAAAATTGGTTACCGGAGGAGCTCCACTAGGCCGCAGTTTCATGGCTAAACACGATAAGCCGAGCAAACCCAAAACGACTACAATCCACATAACTAGTGATGTGGATGGTGCTTTCTGTTGGATAATCAGTTCTGGTAGTCAGATAGGGTTTCCTAACGCTGTTTCCCTACATGCGAAGGGACAGCAATGTGGATTAGCGAATAACAACTGCCTTACCTGCTAAATCCCAATTGCATGCGAAACCGCTACCTCAAGTCTTGAACTGTCATGCCCGCCTAAAGTCTGCTCTGGCCAGTGTCCACACTCATGCAGAATATCGATGGATCCGGTCAAATTGACAGATAGTAAAAAGGACGGTTGACCTAGATGTATCGCAAGCGTTATTGGGCGACACTGTATCGTCAATTTATTTGGATAGACGTACATCCATTCGTCATAAAGTTATGGAAGATGTGTCAGCATATTTGCACCTTACACACAGTGTAATTGGGTACCACCGCTTTCTGGTTCCATTAACGAATCACACGGAGTATGCTGATAGTGGTGTGTGGATTGACACCAGTGTGCCTCCACCGCGTCTAGTGAAGCCTTGTATATCGAGCGCAACTAAGCGGATTTTACCCATGGATGGAGATGATAGTTATCCACTAACTCCTATCAATGCGCTACGTAATCAACAGCCTTTTAGTGACATGATGCAGAGAACACAACTTAAATATCCAGCTACCACAAGCCATTACAACAATCATGGACTCTTTTCCTCGAACCATTTTCTAAAGGGACATACTCAGTCGCAACGCCCTCCGCTGTGGCCACCAAAACATTTTCCAACGTTGGCAATACACGCCCTTTTGTAACTTTTGTAGCCTGGATCCTGGCACACGGATTGAAACCTCAGTGTTTAAAACACAACCTAAACAATCTTCCTCATATTTCACATCTAGCGGTATTTTTAATAAACATTCGTTCTCTTCACTAAGATCCACACACTACACTTATTTGTTTTGGTCAATAATCCTGATATAATATTTCTAACTGAATTTTGGTACAATCAGGTAACTATTCGCGGATATGACAAGTTTGTGAGAAATCGGCCTAGTTGTCGAGGTAGTGGTTGTGTAATTTATCTGGAAAATTCGCTCGCAGCAGCAACGTTCGAGAACCTAATGTTGAAGGATTTCCAGGAATCACTGTGGCTTCCGACATCTGGTACTCAGCCGCAGCTGCTAATACGATGTAGGTACAGTACGCCAGGCTGCTGCCAAGAAGACCTAGAACGCTTGACGCTTGTATTTGAACGTGCCGCTAGCCCATCACTTTTACATATTATTGGTGATTTCAATCTGCATTCGATTTCATGGCCCACGGGGACCGCTCCTTTGAAATGCCAAAATCTTATCTCCTGTATCCAAATGAGTGGCTGACAGCAACACATCTCCCAACCTACCAGAACTGAAAGTACTATG